ATTACCAGCCTATTCAGTCCAAATGAGTTCCAGAACATAAAACCTAGGTTTTTCAGCTGACTGTCTCTAATATATAGGAATATAATGCTGGTACTTACGTTCTATAATATAATGTTTCTGCTATAATTGTTTAAGTGGTATTATATTTAGGCCTCAGGATTGCACTAACCCTATACGAAGGGTATACTTTAAAAATCAAATAAGGAGGAGAAAGCATAAAAGGGCTAAAAGGTACACTTGAACCTCCCAATTGGGAAATAAAGACTCTTTTAGAGTTTTCTATTCTGTGAGCTCTAACCTTTGATCCATTCTTAAGGCACAGTTTCTGCTGTCATATTAAGAACAATGATTATCAGGAAAAGGCAGAGATGGGCGTATGTGTTGGCCTTCCATGGACCTTCCATGGAAGCATTTGGACCTTCCATGGAAGCATTTAGAAGAAAGGTCTTTAGGCCCATCATGCCATGGAGTCTGCCAACTGCTCTCTTAAAGAGTAGAGACCTGGAGGGCATCATTCATCACTTCAACGTGAAATACATTAAAGCTGCCCCCCACGCCCAGATATAAACCATCAAGTGTTCTTACAATGACCCAGTTTCAGACTAAAGGTGCGGAAAGTTTTCAAGCCACATTTCTTTTCCAAAGCATTCATCAGTGTTGCTTTTCGTGTAGCCTTTCCAACCTGGACACTACTGCCAACACCACACAACTGTAGGTATGCCCTCCATTCTCAAAGACGCTCTGTGATGAAGTCCAAATCCCTCAGCCTGCTCTGTGACTCTTCATAACACAGTCCAAGACCATCTCCCCAGCCTCTGCCCAACACTCTTCTGTGGGTTTCACACAAACTCAAGTATCTCCCATTCCTCACAGACGCCCGACTTTCCCGCTGCCTTATTTGCTCAAGTCACTTCTTCCACCTGGAATGCTCTGCCCCTTCCCTGTCTATCCAATCCCAATTCTCTATCAAAGGCCAGCTCAAAAACCTACTTGCCCCAAATGTAGATTTTTATATGCATGCCTCCTCCCTCCTTTTAAATGATAAGTTATAAGGTACCTAATACAATAAATTGTTCCTGGTGAATGCTCAGTAAATTTGGTCAAGTGAATAAGCAGATAAATCTCATGGGTCCACTGTAGTCTCGTGAGGCAGAGGGGTGTGGTAGGGTTTCCTTGCAGACTTAACCAATGCCAGTCAGTGAATCGCTAGAGTGTTAGCAAGAACACTAGCCTTTTTGCAGTTATCTCATTGCAACTTGTTCATTTTTCTCTGATCTATGACCCAGGGGCCTATACCAAGACCCTATACCTCTTGCTGCAGTTGAATGTACATATCCCATACCAGTGTATGGTTTGAAAGTTTTTTCCTTTTGAGTCGCAAAGTTTGAAGTAATGAAAATACAAAGTTTTGGTCGGGCGTGGTGGCTCACACCTGTAATCCTAGTGCTCTGGGAGGCCGAGGTGGGCAGGATCGCTCAAGGTCAGGAGTTCGAGACCAGCCTGAGCAAGAGCGAGACCCCCATCTCTACTAAAAATACAAAGAAATTAATTGGCCAACTAAAAATATAGAAAAAAATTAGCTGGGCATGGTGGCACATGCCTGTAGTTCCAGCTTCTCAGGAGGCTGAGGCAGAAGGATCGCTCGAGCCCAGGAGTTTGAGGTTGCTGTGAGCTAGGATGATGCCACAGCACTCTAGCCAGGGAAATAGAGTGAGACTCTTATCTCAAAAGAAAAAAAAAAAAAAAGGAAGAGAAAATACGAAGTTTTTCTCCTATAAGATCCTGTCATTCTTACAAGGTTGTGTAGTTGAGGAAAACAAACCCCAAATAAATAGTCACAATCCCAAATGGAGGGCAGATGGCTGTCCTATAAAGAGAGGTTGCCAGCACGCCCCCAATCCCCAGAGCACAGCCAGTGTGGCAGTCTTACTGAATGACCGTGCTTGTCGCTCCTCCGGTGACCTCTCCGACCAGATGGATTCCTGTGAGGAGTGACTGGAGACCCAACGTGCAGGTCACCAAGGCCGCTGAAGCGAGAGTCTGCGTTTCCCAAGTCGCCGTAACACAATCTGAGCCTTGCCCAGTGGAGAGGGGTCAGAAGGCTATCTGGTAGCCAAGGGCATGCCAGGGCTTTAGAATAATAGCACGAGGTCGTAATCGAACACCATCCCGGGACATTTAGCCAGTTAATCATCTCAATCATCCATCCATCTTTTATTCATAAACACGAGAAACAACGTTCTCTCTAGCTGCTCACATTACCCTTTCAAGGCACCCCAACATTATACTGTCCCAGCTTTTCCCATCATTTCACATAAAATGCACCTGGCGTAGTTACAGCTTCTTGTCAACAGAAATGGCAATACTAACATTGGACTGGGATGGCCCCATTACTGTTGCTCCCAGAACCAGTGTGAGCATTTGCAGCTTAAGGGCAAGGCTTTAAGTAGTTCTTTGAACCCCATTAAGACTGTAAGTCCACAGAAACATGAGACAAATAACTGTGTAACCTGAGGCACGAGTAGACCTCACTAACAAACAGGTTGTTTTTTTTTTTAATCTCAATTACCCATTTTATTTCAGCCTTGAAGCAGATTAAAAATGGTAGGATTGTTGGCTTTAGTTTTTAAATGCAAAAAATTCAATAAGAAATTCTTAGCCGTAGCAAATCTATCAAACATAATCACAAGGGGAGCCCAACTACAATGTGAGTTCACCCATATACTTTCCACAAGTTTCACATTTCTCCTTCCTTAACCTTAATTGAACAGATAGAAATGTGAAGCATTCACAACAATGTTTACAAATTACCTCTGGGCAAGGACTATACCTTATCGAAAGCTCTAGTTCTTTCCCTGACATCCCTGTAGCAGACTTTATAACAAAGTGATTAAGAACAAAAGCTTCAGAGTCAGACTTGCTAGTTTGGCCCTCAATAGCTACTTAGGCTTAATGAATCTCTCTGGGCCTCTGTTTCCTCATCTGTAAAGTATGAATAATAATGACAATATCAATTCACATAATGATTTGATATTTAAATGAATTAATGCATGTGAGGTGCTTAGCTAGCCCTTAGTAGTAGTCAATAAATGTTAGCTATTATTTGCACTGTCTTGAATTTACTTTATGATCCATTGTTTTGGGGATTTTATGGGTCCTGGAGGAAACTTGACCTTAGTTCAACTGCAATAAGGAAGAAAGAACACATACTACATGTGTATTTTTTTAATGTCCACGTCTCTAGATCAGTGATTCTCAAAGTATGGTCTGGGGACATCTGGGGATTCCTAAGGCTCTTTTAGGGAGTCTTCAAGGTCAAAACTATTTTCATAGTACCACTTGTTGATCCAAATAAATGACTGAGGCAAAAATCTCAATCAATGGAGGTTTATTAAGCCAAGATTTTGGGGATGCACTTGGGAAAAACACAAACCTGGGCCGGGCGCAGTGGCTCATGCCTGTAATCCTAGCACTCTGGGAGGCCAAGGTGGGCGGATAGCTCAAGGTCAGGAGTTCGAAACCAGCCTGAGCAAGAGCGAGACCCCGTCTCTACTAAAAATAGAAAATTAATTGGCCAACTAAAATATATAGAAAAAAATTAGCCGGGCATGGTGGTGCGTGCCTGTAGTCCCAGCCACTAGGGAGGCTGAGGCAGTAGGATCGCCTGAGCCCAGGAGTTTGAGGTTGCTGTGAGCTAGGCTGACACCACGGCACTCTAGCCTGGGCAACAGAGTGAGACTCTGTCTCAAAAAAAAAAAAAAGAAAAATACAAACCACAGACAAGCTGTGGCTGTTTTTCCCAAGAGGAAGTTGTTGGAAACCTCAGCATATTAAATGCATATAGAGAAAAGGAAAAAGGTGAAGGGCAAGGTGGGGGGTGCTGGTGAGGTAGTGGTTACATTCTTGTGAGACCCAAAAAATCTACAATTTACATAAAGTAAGGGAGTGAAGGAAGCATCGATTATGTAGATGTCCCTGGGTAGGTGGAAAAATGTCCGATTCTGTCTTGTCTCCAGTTCTGTTCCCTGTAGGATAAACTTGAAATTCATTATCAGTGTGGAATCAAACAGGCTTTAGTTTTAGGTGGGGAGCATAGGTATAATTTGCATGTCCTTGCTTATGGAAGGTTAGCAAGCAATTTCCTTTTTTTTTTTTGAGGCAGAGTCTCACTTTGTTGCCCAGGCTAGAGTGAGTGCCATGGCGTCAGCCTAGCTCACAGCAACCTCAAACTCCTGGGCTCAAGCAATCCTTCTGCCTCAGCCTCCCGAGTAGCTGGGACTACAGGCATGTGCCACCATGCCTGGCTAATTTTTTCTATATATATTAGTTGGCCAATTAATTTCTTTCTATTTATGGTAGAGATGGGGTCTCACTCTAGCTCAGGTTGATTTCAAACTCCTGAGCTCAAATGATCCGCCCACCTCCGCCTCCCAGAGAGCTAGGATTACAGGCCAGCAAGTAATTTCCTTAATGAATGATCTTCACAGGTGCCAGCTCTTCACAGGTGCCTGAGTTTTTTACCTTCTCTTTTGCATAAAGAGTTGGGGGAAGGGCTGTGGCTCTGAGACTTTGATTTCCTTCTTACACACTAAAATGTTATTTGCCTTTTTCATTCTCATTGTTTCATGAGTGCACAGTGGGATTTTCCAGAGGCTACAAGATATGTGATGACGTCATCACTTAATAGTTAATGGAATGTGTGCTTGTACATTCTTGTTTTTGACAGTCCTCAGTTATGATTTCAAATAAAGAACAAGAGATATAACCCACATAAACAAAACTCTTTGGGGTACTCAATAATTTTTAAGAATTTAAAAGGGTCCTAAGACCAAAAAGTATGAGAGCCTCTCCCAGACTTGAACTCCAGTTCAAGTCCCCCTACCCCCGTGTCAAAATCTGTAATGTGAAAGTAGCAAACTCGTCTCTTAACTTTGAGATTCTGCCCCCAGAGGTGGGTCCCTGAAGCCAGCCTGCCCATCTGTTGTCGTTGTGTGTTTCAGGCTGTCTGAGTACGAGTTTCCTGACGAGGAGTGGCTGTGGGATTATGAGAAGCACGGTCACCGGCATTCCATGATTGGACGCGTCAAGCGGTTCCTGAGTACCCACGAACACCCCGCCACCCCCAGGAGGAGAAGCTACCGGAGGCAGACCAGTGACAGCTCCATGTTCTTCCCCCGGGGCAACCTCGGCCCTGCCAAGGATCTGCTGGATGTGCCCTCAAGAAACCCCCGCAAGGCCTCGCCCTCGCAGCATTCCAGCATGGGAGAACTGTCCACAGTCCGGGAGACCAGCCAGACAAGCACTTTACCCAGCCTGACCCCACAGCCCAGTGTGCAGACCTCCCCCACCAAAATGCCACAGGTCCCCCAGGTATTGGTCACAGCGGCCAAAGCATCAGTACCCACATCAGACAGCGACCACCATGACTCCACTACCTCCATCCTGAGCTTTGAGTTTACTGGAGTTCAGCCAAGTGGGACTGGGCAGCAGGAGGGCCCGGTGGGGTCAGTCCTGTCCCCCTCAGAGAAGGGGAAACCTCCTAGCGGCCCTGGTCCCCAGACCACTCCAGCCAACACTGAGAGAAACATATTCAAGTATGAGGAAGACCCTGGTGACACTGACAGGTTTCCAAAAAGGTGGAGCCTCCCAGAGTTCCTGGAGTCCAGCCACACCTCCCTGGGAAACCTAAGTCCAGACCCTGTGAACTCTCAGCCAGCTCTTTTAGTTGACACAGAAACATCCTCAGAGACCAGTGGAATCAACTTTATGGCTGGCTCTCGAGTCTCTCCTGATGTGCTGTATTTACTGGAAAACCTGGACGCCAAGGAAACAGATATCATAGACCTGAACAACCAGCAAGCTGAGGAATCACCCAGGGGAGCGCCACAGAGTTCGAGGACCTGGTTCTAGCCGAGATTCTTACTTTCCCAAATGTTCAGCATTAGTCTCAGGACGTACCTGGGAACCGGTCAGCTTTTTTAAAAAAAAATGATCATACTGCATAAGCTACTTAGAACTTTGAAGGGCATTATGATCCTGACTTTTTGAGAACTGCAATAAGCAAACACATTCATGTCATCCATCACCACGTGGCTTTCATGGAAGTTACACGGGCCACAGTGACGGCCCTTAACCAAATAAGGAATCTTAAAAATATATGTGACTTACACATTTACCCGTGGAAAGGGCCTTATAGATCACAGTCCAATCCCCTGTAGTTATAAAGACCTGGGTATTTTCTCTCTCTTTTCTTTTACCATGAAGACAGGCAGTGGGTCACATAATGCCCCAAAGGCCTGTTCCCAACTAATGATTCTTTGTTTGAGACTTTCTAACCATCTCACTCCCACTTTCTCTAACTATTATTGTTATTATCATTTCCTGATTCTTAACCTTTATCAGCATCAGAAAGCTTCGTCTCTCTTCAATTTCCTTTTCTACTTTTGGGTTTTCATTTTTCTGTCTTTCCCCTTATTCTCTCATTCTTTCTTTCCTTCCTTTCTCTCTAGTTGTGCTTCTTCTCTAGTGACGCTAATCTGTCCACCTTTCGGGTTATATTCTCTCTTGCGAGCTCTGTTGCTTCCTTCTTGCCTGGGTTTTCAAAATAGGAGGCGTTGGCCAAGCCTCCTACAGAATGATCAAAGATGTCGACAAATCCAGCCTGACACGCTTCTGGCCTCACTTCAGTAGAAGGGATGTGGGGGGTGATGGCACCCCTCCACCCCCTCACAGCCACTGCCGTTTCTTTCTGCTTCCACTCTTTGGTCTTGGACACTGAAGAAAATGGAAGATGAGAGGATATGAAACTTGCATGACCAAATGCCGTGGAACCAAAGAATAAGATGGCTCGAATCTGTTTAATTCAAAACTCTTAAGCAAATACCCCAATTGTGTCACAACATGGGACCAGTTACTGTGTCTATCAGGTTGTTTGGAATGAGGTCAGACCCTGGCGCTGGGCGGATAATGGGGTCCAGGACTGGCATAATGGGGAGCGGATGTTGGCTGGCTCCCTGCAAGGAGCCCTCAGGGTGGCTGCTTTTTGTGGGCTCCCAGCTCTGTCTGCAAGGCCATGCCTTACGGGTGCTGCTCTCACCCTTCATCATAGGATGAAGTTTGGCTACAGATGGCTTAAGAAATAAAATAACCCGAATAGCTACCATTTATCGCACTCACAGTGTTCCAGACAGCAGTGTGTACAGTTCACAGATGATCTCACGAATCCTCATAGGAATCCTATGAGATTGATATAATATTTAACGATGAGGAAGACCAGGTGTGGTGGCTTACACCTACACCTATACTCCCAGCACCACTGCTTGAGGCCAGGAGTGAGACCCTATCTCTTTAAAAAAAAAATGAGGAAAATAGAGGCATTGGAGAAGTAATTTACCTAAAATCACATAGCCAAGAAGTGGCCAAGATCAGATTGAAACCCAGGCTTCCCCAACTCGAGAGCCCATTCTCTTCACACTGCCCTGTGCTGTCTGTAAGCCCTGAATCCACTGGCGGTTTGCCCAGAATTCTGGAGGATGCCTCGAAGGAGCCACGCCTGAATTGCAGGTTCAGGCTAAATCTCTCCAGACTTGGAGGCCCTCTGGGTCCTCCCCGCTCGAGTCTACCTGCATCTTTCATGCATTCATAAAGGAAGGTGATGCTCCAACTTTGAGCCCCAGCCAGGGTCCTCTTCATTTTTCATGACGGAAGAAACCTGGCAGACCCCCTTTTCCCCTCCCCAACTCCTACTGTTATGTTATATTAATAATTAGCACATTTTCACAAGAACTCGAATCTCCCCAGGCCTCTTGAGCTGCATGATAGCAATGACATTTACTTTAACTGGCTTTTCTCAAAGGACTAAAAGGAAATAAAATCAGAGGAGATGCCACGCAGTGATGGTTCTCTGTGCTGCTTGGCAGTGTTAGCACCTGGGAAAGCAGCGATATTCCCCAAGCACTGGGTACAGACTACGCCATCAAGCCCCAGTATCACACTTTCAAAAGGCAAGAACCCTATCCTACTCTCAGTCACCAGCCTCATAATGCTCTTTTCTTGGGATCTCAACTTTAGTCCTTCTATTCTTTTCTCTCTGATTCTGTGTTGCTCAAATTCAAATAAGTTGCTACTTAGCTACTTTTGAATACAGTCAGTTTTCATTCCTATATCCAAGGCGATAAATTACACACAAATTGAATAATACATTTTATGGAGGGCTAGAGAGTGTTCATTTATCTCTGCTTCCATCCATCCTTTATGTATCTTTACCCAGAGAATTATTCAATTTTCTCAACATTTCTTCAAATTTTGAGATGGCCTCTCATTTTCTCCTTGCATTGAAAACTAAATTATGATACACTCAGTGAACCCATGTAGATGAATTCAGCTATAAATTCAAGCCAGCAATTGCCCAGAGGAGATGAAGAAATTCTCTATTCATTCTAAAATGAGTTTTTACTCGACACAAACTAAGTTTGCAAAACCAAAATGATTTCTTCTCGTGCCTGGTTTCATTGCCTGCCTGGCCCGTTTTCTCCCGAGCTCTGGAATCTTCAACCACCCCGATAAAGGGTCACGTGGCCTGGTGGCTTAGCCTTTTGGGCTTGCCCACTCCAAGAACAGGCTCTGCTTTCCTCTGCATGAAATGTCATCCACAAGCCAGAGAGTGCGGTGAGGCCAAGTCTGATTTGCTGCATTCTCTCCCTGGTCTGTAGATAACTCTGCCCCAACACTGGGGTCTGCCCTTCAGTGAGGTAAAGGCTCACTAATTTTTCTCTGTCATCCAAGAATTTAGGGATGACTGGCCCCTGGCAAAACAAAGGAGCTTGTTCCATCTCCTTCTCTCATCGTCCCATCTACTTCTGGGCACATCACTTCCACCATGCCAGGCATCCACTTTCAGCCTGGTTCAGCCAAGCTATGGAAAACATATTTTAAAAGGAATGGAGAAATGCAAACTTCACCATTCGTGTAAAGAAAAGACTCATTTAAACATACACCCCTTCTTTTTCTTAGTGTTTTCTTCTATAGCTCCTCTTTCTCCAGAGAAATTGATTCAATTGTGTATCATTTTTCTGAGACCTTATTGTCATAAAATCTACACTCTGAGCATCTGCTGAGCTCAGGTGGTCCCATGAGGTGTGATGGAAGAAGTACTGAAAAACCATCTTGTGAACTCCTTCCGAACAGCTTTATAAACTTGGCCAAGTTCCCTGCCTTCTGAATTTCATATTTTCATCTGCAAAATGAGCTCTTCTTTGGATCCTTTCACTGAGCCATTGTGATGTGTCATCAGAGAAGGCCGGGAACCCGGGCAGCACCGTTGGATGACAGGCATGATCGGGGATTGGGGCTCCATGGGTTCACCATGAACTTCCAAAAAAAGGCCTTCTCTGTGTCCCCTTTGGTTATTTTTTTGTCAGACTCCCCTTATTTTCCAGGATTCTAATCTCTTTCGTTCAAGAAGCTTTCCTTCCTTCCTTCCTTCTTTCCTTCCTTCCTTCCTTCCTTCCTTCCTTCCTTCCTTCCTTCCTTCCTTCCTTCCTTCCTTCCTCTCTTTCTCTCTTTCTCTCTTTCAATAGAGATGGGGTCTTGCTATGTTGCTCAGGCTGGATTTGAACTCCTGGGCTCAAGCCATCCCTCCTTCCTTGGCCTCTCAAGTAGCTGAGACTTGGGGCATGTGCTACTGTGCCTGGATAAGAAAGCTTTTCTTCTTCAAACACACCATTAAGCTTCCAACTTAATCAGTTAATTAGAAATAACAACTACAACTTTAAAAACTCCTAAGCAAGAGCAAATTGGAACCCAATTCCCCCGGCCTTCCCTTGTCATAGTCATCTACATAATCAAGAAACACTTTCTGATGTGCTGTGCAGTTAACAGAACAACCAAGGATTTCCTTAATCTGTCTTATTGAACTGTCTCAGGTAGATCCTCAATCCCCTTTTACATGCTTTTTGTTTTTCTTAGTTCTATGAACCCTAATTTTTAGGGCAGCCTTTTTCACTCTCGTGGCCATTAAGAACCCATTGAAGAACACCAGGATTGTTCTCTTACTGCAAATTTAACAGCACCCAGAAGGAGGATCCCCATCCTGAGGATCCCCATCAGGACTCCAGCAAACATTTGCCTCTCTCCAAACTCTCCCTTCATCACCTCCACATGTACAGCCAGCTCATCCTTGGCCATGACAAATAGAAAATGAAGCAATTTCCCTGTAAAATTGCTTAGGGACCCCAAATCACATTTGCCCCAATACTCAATTCAGACTGGAGATTAAGGTCTTTTTGTTTTGTTTCTGAATTAATTCAGAAAAGGGGCCCAAATCTTTCTTTTGTCACAGGTGAATTTGGCCAGGTGGTTACTTGGAACCATCTTCTCTGACATTTTAGACACTTGCTTAACAGAGGCAACAAAGGGAATGCTGTATCTGGTATGCCGAAAACAAATAAGAACATTTGTAAAATAGGTTTTGTACAGAAATGCTGATATGTTTCAGGTTCCTTGCCTAGATCAATGGTTCTTTTTTTTTTTTTGAGACAGAGTCTTACTTTGTTGCCCAGGCTAGAGTGAGTGCCGTGGCGTCAGCCTGGCTCACAGCAACCTCAATCTCCGGGGCTCAGCGATCCTACTGCCTCAGCCTCCCGAGCAGCTGGGACTACAGGCATGCGCCACCATGCCCGGCTAATTTTTTGTATATATATTTTTAGTTGATCAATTAATTTATTTCTATTTTTGGTAGAGACGGGGTCTCGCTCAGTCTGGTTTCGAACTCCTGACCTTGAGCAATCCGCCCACCTCAGCCTCCCAAAGTGCTAGGATTACAGGCGTGAGCCACCACGCCCGGCCAATGGTTCTTTATTCTCTCTCTTTTTTCTTTCTTTCTTTTCTTTTTAGAGATGGGGTCTCACTCTGTCTCCCAGGCTAGAGTGTAGCAGCATGATCATAGCTCACGGTGGCCTCAAATTCCTGGTTAAAGCTGTCCTCCTGCCTCAGCCTCCCAAGTAGCTGGGACTACTGACACATACCACCACAACCAGCTATTTTTGTTGTTGTTGTTTTGGTTTTTTTGTTTTTTGTAGAGACAGAGTCTCACTATGTTGCCCAGGCTGGTCTTGAACTCCTGGCCTCAAGTGATCCTCCCATCCTCCCACCTTGGCCTCCCAGAGTACTGTGATTACAGGCTTGAGCCACCACACCCAGGCTGTTTCTTAATGAGAGGTGATTTTGCACCCAGGAGATATTTGGTCATGCCTGGAGACAATTTTAGTTATCATAGTAGGGAGTGTTCATGGCATCCAGTGGGTAGAGACGAGGAATGCTGCTAAACATGCTACAATGCACAGAACAGACACCTGCAACTATTCTGCCCAAAATAGCAAGTTTGAGAAACCTGATTTAGGCCATCAGGAAGGTAAAAATGAGACAGTCATCAAGGAGATTAACCACTTCGGCACCAGCATCAACTATAGTTGTCGGCCACAGGTGAACGCGCACAGCGACTCTAGCTGACAGCCGTGATATGACTTTTCTAATTTTTCATTTATCAAAATAAAATTGTGAACATTTAAAAATAATGTAATGAAAACATATGTGTATATGTTACCTATTCTGATTTACATTACAAGTAAAGCTGCCTGTAAAGGAAAACAAGCTTTCAGTGCTTTCAAGCTTTCCTCATCACACAAGAGCAAGACGGATTTGTAGTCAATGCACAGCACAGACTATCGTGGGGACTGTGAGTGCCGGCTGGGGCAAGGTTTCGCGGCTGGTGAGCGCCGTACCCAAGTGGTTAATGGCAAGGGAGGATTTGGAGAAAGAGAGCGAGCTAGAAGAGAACAGATGGACCCAGCAATGGGCTGAATTCCTGTGCTGTGTACAAGCTGTGAAATAATCGCCATTTTCCCCCTGATGCTGGAGGACTTGATATCTCAAACTCAGAAAAACTAGATTTGAATCCTGAGCTTCACTCTTAGAGAATTCCTCAGATGGCTCTTACCAGTAAGAGTAGTGAAATGCCATCGCTGGCATGATTGTAATTTTCTGAGATTGTAGTTTACGACAATAATATATTCACCAAATATTATTTAAAACCTTGTGCCAATAAACTGCTAGACTATGGATAGACAACTGATCCAGCTTCAGCTTTTGTATACATCTGTCTTAGGATTGAACAAACTGTATCTTGTAGACAGATAATTTCGCACTTTATTGTATATAGACAAGACACTTTTTAGTAGAAAATAGTTACAATGGGTCGATCAGTTGGCCTCCTTCCTGTGGGCCAAGCAAACTCATGGATTCTCTGCCTTATGGATTCCTCAGTTGGGAGAGCAACATCCGGGGGTTGGTGAAGTCCTGGATGATGTCACAAGTTGGATTTTTATTCATAGTCACTCATGAAGCATTAAGCAACTCCTGAGTGTCAGGCATTCAGCCGAAGCACGCCCACCCCGCCACCCCGCCTCACAGCTCTGTCCCTGTCTTCTGCAGGTCTAGGGAAATAACAAATTGCCCTCTAAAGTTCACTCGTGTTCGCTGCTATGTTTGTTTGTTTCCTTCATCTCCAATTCTGATCCTCCACCCAACTATTTTAGTTTGTTTAATGCGAAGCCCTTTGTACACATTCTTATAAAATGCATATTACTGTTGTGTGCACAAATGATTTATATTATAGGTCTCATCTGTTTCTTTGTTTTTTATTCAGTATTGTGTTTTTAAGATCCTCCCAAATTCCCTTGTGGACATCTCATCCATTGCTTCTGACTGCTGCATACTCTGAGATGTCTTCTGTCTTACTTTTCTACTCCCTCAATTGCCTGCACCTCCCTCCACAGTAAGCGCCCTTTTGGAGTCCCTTTACAGACCCATAGAAGAGCTTTTGGGGCTATAGGCCCACAAGCAGACTGGCCTCCCCCCAGAAGCATGTGCGTGTCCTGGACTCCTACTGCCCTGCCCCAAGCTTGGCATCACCTAGATTTCTAATTTTTCCAATCTAACAAATGTAAAGTGACACCTAAACATTATTGTTTAATTGGCATTTATTTGATTATTAATGACATTAAGCATCTCTTCAAATGTTTCTTAATTCTTTTGAGACTCCTCTTCTGAAAATCGGCTTTTCAAATTCTTTGCCCTTTTTTCTAATGGGGTTTCTATATTTTTCTTGTTGATTTTCAAGAGTTCCTTTTATTTTCTAGAATGATAATAGATCCTTGTTGGTTTTGGACATTGCAATGGTCTTTTCCAGTCCTTTGTGTGTCTGTTAAATATGTCCGTGGTGTCATTTGTTGAATAGAAATCCTTAATTTGATATAATCAAGTTCATCCATTTTTTGTTTTATGCTTTCGAAGTTTTAGATAAGAACTCCTTCCCCATGTTATCTCATGATATTTTCCTACAGTTTTTTGTCCCATTCCCTTTACAATGTTAGATAGGGATCAGTTTTATTTTTCTCCTTAGAGTGAGCCAGTCTTCTCCCCAACTCCTCCTACTAAATGACCAGTTTATAAGTTCCACATATTTCTTGCAAATCAGATACTCTGGTATGAAACAAAATGACATCTGAGAGAGATGAAGATAGGGTGGTATGAATGGAAAAAAATAAAGATGAGTTTTAACCTCATAAAACCCACCAAATACAAATTTTCTCCAAACTGCATCCTGTCTTGTTATCTATTAACTGGTGATGTTTCCCCCTTCAGCACTTGCGGAGTGTAAATTCCTTTAACATTCATTTGCCCAAAGCCTACTAAAAATAGGCCCTCTCTTTTATCGGACTAAACTGCAAGAGTAAAGCCTGATACATAAGGGGCTGTTGCTAAAGAAGAGACAGAGATGTGGTTACAAGGATAGCTCAGGATCCTTCAACACTCAAAAGAAGGCAGAATGGAATCCAGAGAGGTGCAGTCCACGGTCAAACTAGTGAATATATTCAGGTGCTGGAGTCAGCAAAGGCAGTGGCATTACAGCCATGGCCAGCAGCGCCTGGTGCTGCAGGCTGAGGTCTTCCCCGAGCCTTGGGGCTTTCCCGAAGCCTCAGTCTTTCCTCTTCTGTAACAGGCTGTGCTCAAAGATGGGTGAACATTGAGTGTTTACTGCCACCCTCGGCCCTGGCCTTGCTTGGGACAGTTGCAGATGGTTTCAGAAGAGAATGAATCACATCTTGTCTTCATTTCCCCAGGGAAAGGGCGCTTCCCCAAGGCACAAAACCTCCTGGGAAGGGCAGGGTGCTTGATTCTAATGAGAAGCTCTTTATTCATCCACATGGTCATCGGACCCTACAGATTCCAAAGGGAACGCACTTTTCAAGGTTAGAAAACACTTTCAAACAGAGAATCAGTCATTTTCCCCCCAATAAAAAATGGGTTTTGATTACTTTCATAACTAAAGAACACGGGAGACAGGCAAATTGCTGTCATGTTCATTCACCTGTCTCCAACATGACTTTGCTCCTTTATGGGGAGAGAAGGCTTAGCTGGTGAGAGGCCAGGTGGGAAAAAGTGCCCACCTGTCTTAGGAGGCAGCCAGGCCCTTC